CGTACTGTTGCTGTCTGATTCCAATACAGATTGGCGATGATTATTATATCCTTTGCATCCAATCCTAGCTCTTGTAGGTATTTTATCATCAATTCGTGTTTTACATTATCGAATGCTTTCTCGTAATCGATGAAACAGATAAAAACATCCTTTCTTTGATCTAAACAATTCTGTATCAATGTTTGCATACTAAAGATCGCTTCTCTCGTGCCAAGTCCATTTTTGAAACCAAACTGACTCCATTTACTGACCTCTTCACATTTCTTAAACAATCTAGTGTGAAGTATTCTCAGGAAAAGTTTTAAAAAGTGACTCATTAGGCTTATTAGTCGGTGGTCCTTGCAGAAGTTCGCACGTGGTGTTTTTGGTAGGGCGATAAATGTAGATCGAAGCCAATCTTTTGGAATCTGGCCCGTATCGTAGATGTCGTTAAAGAGCTTAACAATAATGTCTAGGTTTTCTTCATTAAGTAACTTGATTGTTTCTGCGTACATATCATCTGGTCCTGGGGTTTTGTTACTTTTTAATAGTTTGATAGCGTGTACAATTTCAGCTTTCAAAATACTTGGGCCATACAAATGGTCTCCCAGTTGTGGTGGTTTTTGTGTTCTGTCATCATTGAACAAATTGGCTGTAAAATAGATTAATAAAAATAAATAAATGCCCTTTGTTTTTGCCGCCTTCGTGCTGTGCACGAACTGCACTCTTGCTAGGATCGGCTCTGGGTAGAGCAGAACTAGACTTTGTAGAGATATGTGACATGTGGAACTGTCTTTGTTTTTGCATGATTTCGTCATAATTCGGCTGAATTTTTGAGGCTGAAATTCTTAGTAATAAAAAAAGGTGATCATCCGCTAGCCTATTACGAATACAATTTTTTCTTAGTTTCATTTTTGAAAATGTTTGTTCGCACATAACTTGGCCATTATCTTTTGTACCAAAACTAGCCATTATTTTTTGGACGTATCCCAATTCGTTCTCTATAGGAGAAAGGAAAATATGTTCCCTACAGGAGAATGAAACTTGATGCCACCGTATCACCTTATTTAATGACGATACGGTTGAATTGGTAATCACAGTTTTAAACCATGTACCAAGCAATGTCTATTGTTAAAACCTTGTTCTTGTCATTATTGCGCAAATGTAACACAAAAAATAAAATAGTTTTCAAATTAATGGATTTAAACATAATAAATTCTCTTTTATTATTGTGCAAAGGTGCTAAAAACAAATAAATTGCTGTTCATATAATTATTGTATTCAAATGAGATACATCAAATACTAATTTAACACGTAAGTAGTTCTAACTACAGTAAAAGTTAATGATATATGAATTAGTAGCCAAGTACCTATAATTATTTTAATACAAAAGAAAAAATGTACCGGTAAGTATCACATTAGCTGTGTATTTAAAGCTTTATTCCTAATAGTAGAGTGGACGTGTATCTTCTTCTTCTTCTTTAGGTACCGTATCCTCTAAGGATGTTGTTAATCATCATAGCTATTTTCACTTTTGAGATTGCAGCTCTGAAAAGTCAATGGAACTGCAATTTTACCACTTTCTCAGATTTTTGAGCCATAAGATGCGTCTTCTTCCAATACTTCGTTTTTCCTGCATTATGGTTTTAGCAACACATATTTATCCTCTCTCATAACGTGGCAGAGATATTGTAACTTTCTTATCTTAATCGTATTCATGATTTCCATTGTCATCTTTCTGAGTACTTCAACATTTGTTATTTGGTCTACCCAACTTCGCTCAAGTCAATCGCTCACCTCTTTCTTTAAGGTCCAGGCCTCCACCCCATACAGCAGCACCGAAAATACATATGAACGTAATATTCTTATTTTGAGTTGCAAATTAAGCTCTCTATTACATAATACTTTTCTCATCTTATTAAATATTGCTCTAGCTTGTCCAATTCTCATTTTTATTTCTTCGGTATACTCGTTATTTTCATTAATAATTATGATATCTGTATTTTTTTACTTTTTCTATTGGAACCCCTCTTATGTTTAAAATGTTTTGTTGTTGTGTTTTGGAAATTGTCATAAATTTTGTTTTATAAGCATTATGCGTTAGTCCGCTTTCCTCACTAGCATTTACTACATTAGAATAGAATAGAAATATGCTTTATTGTCACTGAAAATTATTGAACAATTTTATGGACAAAGCTAAAAAATAAATCAGTCAAATAGTACAAAAAGTATAAAACAAAAACAAATATAGTAAAAAACAGAATAACACAATTTTAAATTAGTATAATTATTGTATAACCTACATAATTTGTACAGACAATAACAAATGAGACAAATTGTAGCCACTGCTTGAGACACCCAAATGTAATTATAAACAATACTAATTTTGTTTCTTTGTTATACATTAAGAAACTCGTCAACTGAATAATATGGTCTTTCTAAGAGATAGATTTTTGTCACCTTACGAAACTTAATGAAGGATGTTGCGGATTTCATTTCTCTTGGAAGGTGATTATAAAGTTTCTTTGCACGATATAGAATAGAATTCTTTACTAGCTGAGTGGACGGGATCGGCAAATAAACGTTACAATCCGAATTTCTAATGGAGTAGCCATGGTCAGGTCTATCGGGAAAAATGTTTAGATGCTTTCGAATCAAACAAACCGTTTCCAAAATAAATAAAGAGGGAAGCGTCAAAATTCCGTGATTTTTGAAGTAGGTCTTGCAATGAGTTGTTTGTTTGAGACCAAATAGATAACGGATTGCTCTTTTTTGCAACTTAAAAATAGTATTAAATTGGGCCGCTGTACTAGAACCCCAAAATGGAAGCCCATATCGAAGATGGGACTCGAACAATGAGAAATATGCCATTTTGGCAGAAGATAAATTTAGTTCCTTCGAAACAGATCTTATTGCAAAGCAAGCTGAGGCTAGTTTCTTCCTTAAGAAGTCAGTATGCAAGGACCATTTGAGATCACTGCCAATGAGAATACCTAGAAATTTCACGGAATTTACGATATTGATTTGGCTCTCATTCAAAAGCAAGGGTTACATGACTCCTTTATAAGATAATGCTACAGTCTTATCCACTTTAAAGCTAAGTAAGTTGGAGTCTGACCAAGCCTTGATTATAAGTAAATCAGCGGTTATAATTGAATGAAGCGTTGAAATATCAGAGCTGCTCCAAGTAATACTAATCATCCGCAAATAGAAAAATTTTCCCTTTAATTTTCAAGTAAGTGATGTCATTAATGAAAAGTAAAAAAAGAATGGGACCTAATACTGAACCTTGCGGTACTCCACACTCAATATCTTTACAACTAGAGTCGGTGTCATTTATTCTAACCAATTGTTTCCTACCTACCAAGTAAGTTTTGAACCAGTTCAAAGACACACCCCGAATTCCGTAGAAAGTTAATTTTTTTAATAGAATGTCGTGATTTACGCAGTCAAAGGCTTTGGTATAGTCGCAGAAAACGGTGGCGGAGAAGAGGTTACTGTTTAGTGATAGATATACATCATGTAACATAGAAAATATGGCATCACTGGTGCATTTATTAGACAAAAAGCCGAACTGATTTTGCGATAAAATATTATATTTAAGGAGAAAGGGCATAAGTCGAACTTTTATAAGTCTTTCAATAATTTTTAATAGTGCTGGTAACAAGGCAATAGGTCTATAGTTGCAGGCATCAGATTTTTCTCCACCTTTATGAAGAGGAATGACGATGGCAGTCTTTAGGCAGTTAGGGAATGTACCTTTTTTTATTATCTAAGTACCCATTATTATTACCCATATTATTATTATCTAATGTACCCATTATCTAAGAGTGTCTGTAGATCTAGTATATTCTCTGCAATTAGTATAGTATCATCAGCATATCTGATATTGTTGATGGGTCTGCCAATAATAGCAAAAATCGAAAGCCTATGCTTAGGAGATTAAAACTAAGATGAACAACACAGTCAAAAGAGGAAATTGAATTTTTTGATATGTTAGAGTTGAGTTTATAAAAGTTAAAAAAAAAGGTAAAAAGTTAAGAGTTAAAAAAAATACATAGTATATAAAAAAAGTCATATAAAATTTAACTTAAATATATCACAAACAAGAAAACATAAAATTTACAAACAGAAAAATTTACGGTAAGCTGTTCAGTGGATGTTCTGCAATGAGCTATATGACCAATATATTCTTCTGAGCAGTAAAAGCAATGTTTTAGAAGATATTTTTTTATATCTTTTTCGAAACTATTACAGGTTAGCTGTTTAATACTTTTTGGTAAAATATTGTTACAGTTATAATTAAGGTAATTTTTATCTGAAAGACGTAATCTACAGCGATTTACAGTTTTTCTGCTTTACTAAGCAAGGACGGTATGACATTCCCAAACTTCACAAAAAAATTCAAAATCACCCTTATCCGATCTGTGTACAGCTAAATTGTTGGTTTTTATTGAAAGTACATAAATTGCACAAAACTCTGATTGCTCTACATTATATTCATTTAGATTAAGAGAAAAATACATAACATTATCTTTTACATAAATTGTAACTCCATCTTGTTTCTTTTTTACCCTACAAAAGAAATTAGCGAATGAAAAGCCGAAGATGCTAATTAATTTTAAATTTTCTTCACTTTGCTAGTACTCCGAAAAACATATGACGTCATATAAATTTTGATCCGCAAGAAAATTTTAATAAATAAAAATAAGTGAAAATGTGAATAAATTGATGATTAGATACTAGATGACAACTTTTATGTTGGTGTGTGTATTTTGCTGCATTCTAAAGCTTTTAAAGTACATAACAGCATAAGGAGTTTCTATAGGACGCTTTATAGCGGTCTTTGATGCATAATTACTACATTGTGACGTAATCTAATCTAATCTCTTTGAATATTTAGATAAATAATGTTGAATACTCTACATATTTGATTATATTTTGGTATCAAGTAGTTATTCTATAAATGAACCATCGCCGTTCTCTTTACCTTAGTTTTTAACATTGTTTATGTTTTTCAGATATGGGACTGATACTTTACACCTTGGGATCGTTAACCCTGCTCGCTATATTATGGACTGTCAGCTCTGTAGCCAGATATGTTTTGAAATTTGCCTGTTTTGGAGTATTGAGCATGATATTTGCATGTGCGCCGATACCCTTGATGTTGTTGAATCCAAGAGATAGCAAAAACGCTTTGTAAGTCCATAATACAATTTTATATACAATCTGCACAAAAAGTAACTTCACTTTCTTATTTTTCATCATTTTCTAATGTCTGTACATTTGTTACAGAATTCCCTCAGCTCTACTAAGATGGAGCAGAAAGTGTTATGGGTTGGAGTACAAAGTCGAAGGCCTAGAGAATATCGATAAAAATAATGGTTCCGTAGTTCTTATGAACCATCAAAGTGCTATAGATTTAATAAGTAAGTTTGTTCAGTTGAATTTTATCAGTTCCCCAATCATTTTCGATTTTTAGTTTTAGCCTATCTATGGCCCTTAATGCCAAACTCAACTGTGATATCGAAGAAGGAGATCTTCTACATTCAGCCATTCGGATTGGCAGCTTGGTTGTGGGGAACCATCTTCATCGATAGAGTTAAAGCCAAAGATGCCCAATCGGCGGTGAACAAAACTGGGCAGATTATCAAAAAGCGGAAGGTGAGTAGGAACTTCTCTCTTTTAAGAAATTATGCATTAGGATTCATTATAATTCAAGACTGACTAAACCTGAGAGACTGGTTTGGTTGCAGCTCAAGGCAATTGTTCAGAGCAACTGCCTCGAAGGTCAGAATAGCCATGATGATTGCCAACCTTCGTCGCGAAGATGGCACTTAAGAAGAACAATGCATTAGGGTGATTAAAATCGGTAAAAAGTGGCAGTTCGACTAAATTCTCTCGCGTAAAGAACTACCAAACAGTTCACGTAGTAACACACATACCCTTAGCACAATTCCCGTCGCCTTTCGACAGTATTCGTCCGAAAACTAGAGTGCCACTAGTAGATTGGGGAAGCATTATTCCTTGCCAACCCCCGGCACATCCGTCAGGTCATCACCCGATCTCGCGGCTCCTGGACCTCAAGTTTCCTTATCTCATGGTTGCATTTGGAGAAGGAAATTATTTAATTTGCGATACTCAGAAGCTGCGTTGCTTTAATTTGCCGATGACACCGTTCTGATCGCAGAAACACTTGAAGAGCTACAGACATTGGTGAATAAGATAGCAGACTGCAGCGAAAAATATGGACTATCTTTGAACATTGAAAGAAAACTTAATTTAATAATATCGAAATCAACACAAAATGTCCAAAATATATATTTACACAATGAAATTATCGATCGAGTTAGCAAATACAAATATTTAGGCACTTTTATAAATGAAGACAACGATAGCTCAGCAGAAATCAAAATAAGAATAGAAACAGCCAGATTCATATTCACTAAAATGAAGAGAGTGCTCTGCGGAAGAGATTTGAGCCTTGAAATGACACTTTGCCTGATGAGATGTTACGTACTTTCTGTGCTGTTCTACGGAATGGAGTCAAAGACGTTGAAAAAAATTGATACCAAAAAATTAGAGACATTTGGACTGTGGATGTATCGCAGATTCCTGGGAATATCATGGACCGAGAGAGTCATAAATGTCGAGGTCTTGAGAAGAATGAATAAAAAAAAAGGTCATATTTACGATCAAAAAACGAAAAATGCAATACTTGGGACACATTACAAGATGCGAAAGATATGAACTGCTTCGAATAATTATGCAAGGGAAAATAGCAGGAAAAAGGTCCATAGGAAGAAGGCGAAACTCCTGGCTAAAGAATCTACGAGAATGGTATAGCTGTAGCAACAACGAATTGTTTCGGTCAGCAGTTTCGAAAATACGTATAGTCCTGATAATCGCCAACCTTCGGAACGAAGATGGCATTTGAAGAAGAAGACTCAGAAGAATAGGGCGTTTAAGAGGGCTCCTCTATCTTCTGTCACTAAAATTCGAATTCGCTGGGGTGTATCCTGACCGCAGTATCCAGTGAGAAAAACCATCAGCCAGATGTCAATATATGTTTGAAAAGCTTAGGATGCTGGCCGATCTGAAAAGTGGAAAAGCTGAAAAAAACATTTTTGGGGACTATTTTTATAGATTTTTTTGTATTTTTATGTTTAATAAAAATACAAAATTTTTATGTTTAATAAGCCAAAGTGCCTTAGTAAAAAATAGTTTTTATTTCTTCCGATAAATTAAATTATTGCCTGGCTTTGGCAAGCAAACTTAATTATTTATGATTGTGTCGTAAAATTGTTCATTGTTAGACAAAATGGAAAGAAAATCCTTGTCAATTGAAAGTAAAGACAAAGCTGCCAGTCGATTTTGCGACATAGCGTTTCTTAAATAATTTTTAATTCTTTTTAACAAGAAAAATTACGTTCAATGGAAACTGAAGTTTTTCTGCATTTCTATCATCATCACCATCAGCCCATAGTCGTACACTGCTGAGCATAGGCCTCCTCTAAAATCCTCCATTCAGATCTATCTTGCGCTGCTGCAGTCCAATTGATACAAATCCTCTTTATGACGTCAGTCCATCTTATGTGTGGTCTTCCTGTGTTTCGTCTATCCGCTCTCAGTCTCAACTGCAAGATTTTTTTGGTCCACCTATTATCCTTTATTCTAGCGACGTGTCCTGCCCACCTCCATTTAATTTTGGCTATGTGTTTTATAATGTCTTCTACGCCTCTTTTTCTGCGGATTTCTTCGTTTCTTACCCTATCTCGCAACGTTATGCTTAACAATGATCTTTCCATTCTACGTTGCGTCATTTGTAGATTTGGTGCAGATGTCCTTGTTAGGGTAATTGTCTCTGCGCCATATGTAAGTATAGGCAGGACACACTGATTAAAGGCTCTTGTTTTTAAGCTAATAGGTATATAAACTTTAAAAATATCACGCAGTCTTCCATATGCTGCCCATCCCAGTGTTATTCTTCTTAGCAACTCAGCATTTTGATTATATCTGCCAATTTTTACCGTATATCCACATATACCATATATATGTATCTCATTGGTAGGGCCGTGCAGATTTATAATTGTAGCATTTCTGTATATATTTTCTATAATATTGGTGTACCTATGATCAATTCGACAATCTTCCAATGTCTTTAGAAGTGCGGGTAGTTCGATAGTATCAAACGCTTTATGGAAGTCTATAAAAGTCTATATTTGTTTGTTCAACTCATCGACATAGTTTAGTATTATGCTGTGATCAAGAGTGTTGTTAACGTAGTCTCCAAATGCTGTTTCGTCTTGTGGGCGTGTCCCGTGAGAATATTTCTTTTTTATTATATGACTTCTATCTAAGTGAGTAGAGGGTTTATCGAGAATGTATTAAGAATGGTCACATCTTTAAATATCTATGTTTTATCTGTAATAAAGTAATCTATTTTGTTGCGGGTATTTCCGTCTGGGCTCCTCCATGTCCAACGTCTGTGTAGCTTCTTGTAGAAAAAGCTATTCATTTGATAAAGATTATTCTCTAGTAGAAATGACAAAAGCATTTTACTTCTCTCATTTCTATCAGGACTTCCGAAATATCCCAGAGATAATTCCGATGCATCTAACTGTGTTCCCATTTTTGCGTTGAAATCACCACCTATGACAGTGTAATGAGCATTGTTCTCTCTTATGGCATTGTACACATCTCAAAAAATCATTTGTATGCTTCAGAAAATATTTCAGTTAATTCATTCTGGTTAAAATATTGCAAAAATTTTAATAACAATTATTGTTCATCTTCGTAACTGACACTTGGTTCATTGACTAATTTTTGTTTATAAAATCATTCAGAATACTGTGTTATTAAACTATTTACCAAATTATGTGGAAAACTTTTTGAAAAATTTTGAAATTGTGAAGAATTCGCAAGGTTAAAAAAATGTAAATCTTTTAAATCTTCTAAAACGAACTTGTAGTTGCATCATAATACACTGCGCTCCAAAATTAACGCATAATTTTAAAATTCTTATTTTGAGTTGTAATGAAAAAAATTTTGTTTGTTCTTTTCTGCTTTATGGTTGTTTTAGAACATCTTAAATAAAACTATTCTTTTTTTACAAAAAAATGTATTGAAATTAACAATATAACATCCTAACATAAATCATAACATCTAAACGGATTGATCTAAACAAACTAACATTATAAATTAATGAAGAAAAAGTTTTTAAAGTTGAAGAAAATACTACTACCGTGTACTAGTATCGAGTATTGCCTCCTCTGGCATTTATTACTGCTTGACAACGATCTCTCATACTGAGAATAATCGTTCTAATTTCTTCTTGATCAATTTGATCCCAAATTTCAACCAACCGCAAAAACAGTTCATCTAATGTGTTTGGTGCATTAGGTAGTTGTCGTAGTCGTCTGCCTATGATGTCCCAAACATGTTCTATTGGGTTAAGGTCAGGACTTCTCGCAGGCCAATCCATGGCAGGAATTCCAACCTTCTGACGATACTGCTGCACAATTCTTGCCGTGTGTGGCCTGGCATTATCTTGCATAAGCATGAAATTATCCCCAATAAATGGTACAAATGGCACGACATGCTCTTCTAAAATGTCTGTTATATACCTCTGCGATGTAAGCCGACCGTGATTTATTTTAACTAATTCCGTACGAGCCTCTAAATTAATCCACCCCATACCATTACTGAGCCGCCGCCATACTGTACAGTCCCTACGGTGTTACACTGTGCGTAGCGTTCCCCAGGCCTTCTATACACTCGGTTTCTCCTGTCATCAGAAAAAAGACAGTACCTGGATTCATCGGTGAACAATATTCTTCCCCAATCGTCATTATTCTAATCAACATGTTCACGAGCAAAATTCAATCTTTGCCTTCTATGGTCTCTGGTCAATAATGGGCCAATTGGTGCCCTTCCAGGGTGTAGGTCGTTTTCGGCAAGTCTTCTTCTAATTGTATTTTGGCTGATTCTAAAGTTATAAACTTTCGGATGAAAGTTGTATTGGATGTTTCGGATCAAAATATAGGTATTAAGATAAATGGCATCCGAATAAACAACTTGAGATATGCCGATGACACGGTACTAATCGCAGAAACTTGGGAAGATCTTCAAATACTAATTAACAAAATAGTAGAATGCAGTGAAGAACACGGATTATCACTTAACATAAGCAAAACAAAAATAATGCTAATATCTAAATCACCACAAAACTTCCCTGACATAACCGTGCATGATCAAAGAATCGAACGTGTAACAAGATATAATTACCTGGGAACTGTTATCAACGAAAATAATGGCTGCTCTGAAGAAATCAGAACCAGAATAGAGAAAGCTAGAGCCACATTTACTAAATTGAAAAAGGTTGTTCTGCGGAAGAGATCTAAGTCTAAAACTTAAAATTCGCCTTTTGAGATGTTACGTTATGTCAGTTCTCCTCTACGGGATGGAAACATGGACATTGAAAAAGATCGATACCAAAAAGATAGAAGCATTTGAGTTGTGGATGTATCGTAGAATATTAAAAATACCCTGGACAGAGAAAGTAACAAATGTGGAGGTTTTGCGGAGAGTGCGGAAAGAGAAAGAGCTGATACTTACTGTTAAAAAGCGCAAACTACAATATTTGGGACATGTTATGAGGGAAGATAAATACCAGTTGCTGCAATTGATTATACAGGGAAAGATAATGGGAAAGAGATCTATAGGAAGAAGAAGGCATTCATGGTTGAAAAACTTGAGAGAATGGTACAATTGCACCAATTACCAACTGTTTAGATCTGCAGCATCAAAAATACGCATAGCTTTGATGATAGCCAAACTTCGGAACGAAGACGACACTTGAAGAAAGTTATAACGATCCAAAAATTCATTTTGTAGAGAAGTACTGGAAACAAACCTTTGTCTCAGTGTACGAAGTGTCAAAAACCGGTCTTGATTAGGAGTTGTAACCCTTTTACGGCCTTGACCGGGTCTTCTCGAGTTACTTCCAGTAACAGAAAAACGTATTAACACTCTTGAAATTGTTGACTGGGTGACGTTAAAACGTTCAGCGAGTTCTACTTGAGTGTATCCTTCTTCGCGAAGAGTAACGATTCTAAAACAGTCACTTTCTGACAAATTTCGATTTTCTTGCTGTGGGTGGTTCATTTCAAAGAAAAAACACTTAATAAACTTGAAAAACCCCTTTAAACGTTCAGCACAACGAAATCCAACCCAACTAAATTCGAAATAAGATGAAGCACAATTAGCATGTTTTTAATTTTTTGCAAAAAAATGATAAAAACATCAGCGTTTTTTACCGTTCTTTCGATAAATTTTACAATATACCGGAGGTAACGATAATATATTAGCACAAAAATCGAAACATTAAAATTATTTAATTTACCCGGGTTTTTAAAATTATGCGTTAATTTTGGAGCGCAGTGTATTACCCATAATTTCAAAATATAATGCTTTATATTTTGTAGTCCGATTAGTGACTCTTTCATTCTTTTAGGTGGGTTTAAGTTAAATTCTGATACCCTTGTTTGGCTAAATTAGTAAAAGCATGATCGTTAATAAGTTGTCTTATTCTTCTCAAAGCTATATCTATTTTTTTGGCACAAATTATCTAAACATTTTAGTTGTAAAATTTGTACAATATGTCAGTTATATTAAATATTTCCTTATAAAGGCAAAGAAGAAAAGCAAACTCAAAATTGATTTTGATACTCGAACTCATTCTGATAAATTCTCATTCGATAAAATATGCTGCAACACCGCAACTTGAAACGTTCAAATGCGTCGATTTCCCAACATCTTAATATGCCTAATCTATAATTCAATATTATTATTACTAAATTGGTTATTAAATTGCCGATAATATTATTAAAAATAATGAATCTTTAAAAAAATCTCGTTAAAGTAATAACGTGATTCGACATGGTTGCAGTTAATGATTATATGACTCACCGGAACGCCTACTATATTTGTAGCAACTGTTTTTGTTTTGGTTGATGACCAAAGCATGACAAGATTGAGAAATGCCTGCAAGAATAAATTAATTTTTTTATATATTGACTATAAAAAATATTATAAGAATCTGCCATGTTTCATTCACTCTTATGAAATCTATTAGCGATCTCCATCAGCGTCAAATAATATTTCAAAATTAAATCAATTCTTATTAGACTTTTAAAACGATCCTTTTTTAGGCGCGAGTACTGATGTTCCCAGAAGGCACCAGAAACCTGGGAAAGAAGTTGCTGCCGTTCAAAAAAGGTGCCTTTCATTTGGCAATCGCTTCCCAAGTTCCTATCCAGCCCGTGGCAGTATCCAGATACTCGTTCATGGGCAAAACACGTTTTGATTCAGGTACATTTTAATTATTATAAAGTTTAGGAAAAAGTTGATGTTTTAAATTAGATTTACAACTGTGTAAAAAGAGATATTCATGTGATTAGCAAAGGAATTTATTAATGAAGGGGGGATTAATAATATTTTGATATTTGTATGTAATATAATATTGCAAAAATCTGTCGAATATAACAAGCTAGTATTCCTGTGATTTTAGGCTTAGGGCAGTAATAATTGTTGCTATTAGTCGGATGTCTCGTTTATCTAAATTCTTTTCTAATCAGACTCCTGACAGAAAAGAATTTAGATAAACGAGACATCCGACTAATAACAAATATGTACTACAATCAAAAGGCAGTAGTGATAGTGAGAGTAGAGAATAAAACCACTGAAGAAATTGAAATAAAGCGAGGTGTGAGACAAGGGTGTATACTGTCACCAACCCTGTTTAATCTCTATTCCGAAGACGTAATGAATAGAACACTCTCTGAGCAATCCGTAGGTATTAAAATAAATGGTGTTAGATTAAATAATCTGAGATTTGCTGACGACACCGTTCTGACCGCAGAAACACTTGAAGAGCTACTGACTTTGGTGAATAAGATAGCAGACTACAGCAAAGAATATGGACTATCTTTGAACATAAAGAAAACTAAATTTATGGTAATATCGAAATCAACACAAAATGTCCAAAATTTATATTTACACAATGAAATTATCGATCGAGTTAGCAAAAACAAATATTTAGGCACTTTTATAAATGAAGACAACTATAGCTCAGTAGAAATCAAAATAAGAATAGAAAAAGCCAGATTCATATTCACTAAAATGAAGAGAGTGTTCTGCGGAAGAGATTTGAGCCTTGAAATCAAACTTCGCCTGATGAGATGTTACGTACTTTCTGTGCTGTTCTACGGAATGGAGTCATGGACATTGAAAATATCGATACCAAAAAATTAGAGGCATTTAAACTGTGGATGTATCGCAGAATCCTGAGAATATCATGGACCGAGAGAGTCACAAATGTCGAGGTCTTGAGAAGTATGAATAAAGAAAAGGAAGTCATATTTACGATCAAAAAACTAAAACTGCAATACTTGGGACACATTACAAGAGGCGAAAGATATGAACTGCTTCGAATAATTATGCAAGGGAAAATAGCAGGAAAAAGGTCCATAGGAAGAAGACGAAACTCCTGGCTAAAGAATCTACGGGAATGGTATAGCTGTAGCAACAACGAATTGTTTCGGTCAGCAGTTTCGAAAATACGTATAGCCCTGATGATCGCCAACCTTCGGAACGAAGATGGCACTTAAAGAAGAAGTAATAATTGAAGTGCCAAAATCTATGAAATATGTCAAAAGCCAAAAGTCAAAGTCACAAAATGTATTTTGATGCTCTTTTTTCTCGTTTTCATCACTTTCGTACACTATTAGACGCATTTTTTCACGTTTTTTTCTCCATTTTGCTACACGTGACCTTGACTATTTTCGCCATTGAACATGATCAATAGAATAAATATGAAAATCTCACAGATGTGTTTCCCAATTCTTCATATGATGAATCCCAATATTAGATACATCAATCTTACACGTAAATAATAAGACGACAGAACGACTTCAGAATTATAACTATTTACGGGCAAACATGATTGAAACAAACATGTGTGTATTCAATAATATGAAACAAATATTGTTGTGGAGACCTCAGCCTAAATCTTAGAAAATTGAAGTACTAAAGTGTTATGTATTTTTTGTTCTTTTGTATGGTGTGGAGACAATTTTAAATAAACAATATCTCAATAAATTGGAAACATTTGAAATGTCGGCATATCGAAGAATGCTGAGAATCTCTTGAACACAAATGGAATAACCAATGAAGAAGTACTAAGAAGAATAGAGAACAGCAGATAAGAAATCCAACCTATAAGATAAGAAAACTACAATACCTGGGTCATATAACACGTGGTGACAGATATGAATTTCTAAAATTAATAATGCAGGGAAAGATTCAAGGAAGGCGCAGCATAGGTAGAAGAAGAATGTCCTGGCTGAGAAACCTCAGAGAATGGTTTGGATGCAGCTCAACTGAACTCTTGCGAGCTGTAGTGTCAAAAGTAGACTAGCAGTAATAATTGCCAACCTTCGTCGAGATGGCACGTAAAGAAGAATTATTGGTTCAAATCGGATCAAAACCGAATTATTTATTGTAATTTTTATAATAAGTTTATCTAATGTCTTAACGATGAAATTATTGGTTAACCTATTTGATTTAACCCATCAAATCACCAAGGTCGAAGGAAACAACATTTCTATATACTTATATATTTATATATTATAATATATATTAAATTCGTAGATAAAATCCTGTTGTCAACGTTTACATTACAAAATTATGTCAAAACCATTAAACTGCTATGTTTGTTCAACTTTTATAAATAGTTGTAAAGACCATCGTTATCACATATAACACGTGTTGCGTAAAGTGACTAATTTGAATAATTTGCTTAGGTAAACCAATTAAAAGAAGTAATTAAGATAACGAAAACCATGTTTTATCAAATGTACTAAAAGCCATATGCGCAAAATAAAAAATCAGTATGTGTTTTAAATTACCACGTGCAATTTGCATTAGCGACTATAAGCTACTATCACATGGACGTAGCTCGTGAGTTTTGGTGGTTTTAGCCCCATATTATTTCAGGACAATTATTAACGATTGTACAGTCGGCAAAAACAACAAAAATGTGGCCCATAATCGCTCAAGCTTCGATTTTAAAAGAAATTTGATGTGTAAAGACGATCCAGTTTATTCTCGATTTCAACTTAATGATAGAAGTACGCTTCAATGCTTGAGTCAACTTGTATATTTAACAAATAATATCACATGGCACCTCGATTCCCAATAGTTCCTAGTTGTTACTTTCACGTAATTTGGAGTTTTCGCTTGGCTTCTTTTGCGCGAAGGTGAAAAGCGCAGACTTGGGTTTTAGAGGGATTAGGTCTCAGGGAATTCTGCAGGTAGTACGCTGTCATTGTTTTTAAGACAGTTTTGAGTTTCTCCTCCATTTCTTCAAAACTATTTCCTTGAGCACATATTGCAAGATCGTCAGCATAGAGGAAGTGCTTGGTTTCGGTCGGCGCAGGTTGGTCGTTTGTGTATATATTGAAGAGCATTTGTGCTAAAGCACTTCCCTGTGGGAGGCTTTTTTGTTGAACTCTCCACTTACTTACTTTACCCTCCAGCATAACGAAAAACGTCTGTTATTGTTGTCTACATCCTCTAGGGATAGCTTTTCTAGACACATTTTTGATTACCTCTACAAATTTTCCGTACTCTACTTTTGGTTCAAGACTAAGCAGCTTAGAATCTAGCATGTCTGCATACTTTTGCTAGTTGGCCTTTTTGAAGTTAAATGTCCTTCTAAATGGAATAGCTTGTGGTCTGACAATTGGAAAGATATTTATACCATTTGGTCTATGCTGAGTTTTTGGTATGGGGCCATATACTACTTTGATACATCGGTCTTCGAGGTTGTTATTTGAAAAACATATATCTGGGTTATATCATCTTTTCCAAACTTTGCTCTGAAACGATGGTGGAAGTTTAGGATCATGAATTTACGTGAGACCACTCGTTTCGACCCATGCTTCTACTGCGTCTCCGTTTGCGTCCGAATCTGCATAGCCCCAGAGTAAACTGTGACTGATAAAGTCTCCCAGTACAAGCTGTACAATGTTTTACAAAATACAAAAAGTTCTATGCAACCGCCAGCTGGGCATCTCATTTAGAACAAGAATACTTAAGTGCTATGTTTTCTCCACCTTGCTCTATGGTGTTGAAGCCTGGACATTGACAGAAGCAACACAAAAAAGAATCCAAGCATTCGAACTCTGGTGTTACCTTAAAATGCTCAGAATATCCTACATGAGCCATACGACAAATGCGGAAGTCTTGCGGAGGATGAATAAGGAAAGACAGCTTATGCTCATAATAAAAGAACGGAAAACACAATATTTTGGTCACATCATAAGAAATCAAAAGTATGAACTGCTCCAACTTATAATCAAAGGCAAAGTCAATAGCAAAAGAGGACCAGGAAGAAGACGCAACTCTTGACTTAAAAACCTACGGCAATGGACGAACATGACCTCCTTAGAACTATTCAGGGCTGCTACAAATATGATTAAATGGGCAAATGTAATGACCAACGTCCTTAGGGATAAGGCACTGTAAGAAGAAGTACAAGCTGGTTGGGTTGGGTTTACAAGTTAGTTGGAGGTAAAAATATAAAATGCTGGTTTGGTGGCTTGTATACCGAGGTTATTGTGCATTTTCCGACTTCAGTGGTTATTATCTCTATACCGTGTACATTTGTTGTTCCCACAGATGAGACTATGGTTTGAGTTCTCATAAATACCGCGCTCCCATGCTTATTGTGTGGTATCTCCGCAATCAGTTACCGGAGACTTTGGTCTCTTTGAATTTAGGTCTCTGTGGTGTTCCTGGATGCACAATACCTCACAGTTCGTGTTCTTGCAGAATTCTGATAAGATGTCTTCTTTGGCTGTAGTGATGCAATGGAAAAAAGAAACCTGCAATATGGAGATTTCCAACATCCAGAGAGCTGTAGAAAAGAGTTAAAAGTAGAAATACACCGAAAACTGTGAAAATACTTATTATTAAAAGTATTTAACAAACCAAACTTTGGTTTGTTAAATATGTATGTATGTTTCCATAAAACGTTTTTTTTTTACTTTGTACCAAACCAACTCTGGTTTTTGACCAATTTTCCTTCTGTTTTTGTCAATAAAAATCTATTTTTTGTTGCAGGTGTTGTCACTATAAGGATTCTTCCAACGATTTCCACGGAAGGATGCACCACTGAAGACATTCCAAAATTGATAGACCAAACGTACAAAACGTTGTCGGAAAACGTGGACGAAATTTCTACACCAACGAATACGATGAATGGAACCGACGCAAAAATAAAAACCAACTGAATACAAAAATAAAAACTTAGCCATGTACATTTGAGGCATCTACGAAATATGCACCGAAAATACATAACGTTTTGTTGCTAGAAATTAAATACAAAATGTCAAATATACTTCGCTGATTGACAATTCCAGTAATTTTCTTTAATAATTCAGTTTCCAGTCGAAATCGACTTTAAACGTCTAAGACTAAGTCAAAGAGTGTTAAATCTAGCGAATAAGGTGGATGTTGCAACAATTCGTACTTTATTTTATTGATTTCGTTTATTAAGCAGTGCAAAGTGTGTTATATAGTGACGAAACATAGTCTTCTTTTGTAAACCAAGTATTTTCTCATGAATTCTTATATCCAGCTTATCCAGAAGGTCATAAGAATAATCTAACTTTACTATTTTACTAGTAATTTAGTCAATAATATAACCCAAATAAGAAAAACGCTAATTTTATTCATCATATCTCGTCTGGAGTTATGGCAACTTCCAGAAAGTTATTTCTTATATATTCATTTTTATTTATGTGAAAAAATGTTTTGTAGTATCTCGTTTTTTAGCGTCTTTTTAGTAAATGCTCATCATCTATTCATAAATGTATCTTCCAGATCTATAACATCCAGAAAATTACCATTATTATTTTTACATTGCTATGAGAACTTTAAAGCCGCTAAAAAGTTTTATAAAAGACTCCCTCTATAACGAGAACTGAAATGGCAGACTAATTACCTCGTTATCAGCCAATATCGTTATATCAGACAAAAATAATACTGTGCATAGGTACATATGAATGTGTAGTTTTCTAAAACATTAACTTCCTATAGTGAAGCCATTCGGAGCAATATGCTAAATATTGTTTGAATGGCGTTTTTGAAAAAAAGTTATTTACTTTTATTGTCATGTTTGTGATATATGTTCATGTGTCATGTGATATATGTTCAAACAAAAAATCTGTTATTTTTATTATCTGTATTTTCAAGGATAACATAAACTCTTGCTTTTGCAATTGGAAGAAGTCTGTAATTTTTGACTGCTTTAAATTGTCCAGTATCATTCTATCTATCATATTTTCTAAAGATGTGAAACAGTTGTATGTTTCTTTATTTGCGTTTTCTCTTTGGATAAAGTTTCTTACAACGTTTAAAGCACTTTCCACATCTTGTCTATTAGGACTTTCTTGCGTAGATTCACCGCGATTGTCTTCTTCATCTTCATCACTTTCGTCACTGACGATAGCGCGCTCTGCCGGCGGAAATTTCACTATCCATCGAAAGATCGCAAACAATGACGTCATCATAAATGAATTCAGCAAACTCGTCATCATTGTTCAGTTGGATTAGTTCTTGACCTTGCTGTGGTAACTTCATAGACTCTGTTACAGGATATTCATTTTCTGCGTTTTTTGCCTCAGTTTCTGTCTACCCCGCATGGCCCAAACATTTTCTGATGGTTTTTTTTATCTACGAGTGTCCATGCTTTGTGGATGCAATTTATGGCATCTAATAAAATTGAATTCACTATGGTTTTCCACCTTATTCAGGATCTTCTTAACTAAAAGTTTTCTGTAGTGAACTTTAAGGGACCTTATGATGCCCTTATCCATCGGTTGCAGAACAGATGTGCAATTTGGGGGTAAAAAAAAAGAAGTTGAATGTTTTTTAAACCGTTAACTTTCGGATGGGCTGTACAATTGTCAACAATTAAAATAATCTTTCGATGTCCCGATCCTCTGTCCCCACTAAAAATCTTCACTGTCTTCAAAAGTTCCCCACTAAAAATCTCTACTGTCATCCACGATTTTTTATTAAATTTATATGTGACAGGAAGCTGATTCATACCTCTGAACTGAAACATCGTGATTGTTGAGATTTCCCAATGAGACTTTCTTCTTTTGGAACCGGACATGTTGGTACACGCGAGTACAGTTACCCTTTCTTTTCATAACTTGCCATCTATCTTGAGGGTCTTATCTGGAGTAAGTTTAAAAAAAAGTCCCAGCTCGTCGACATTGAAAACATTATCGTCACTGTAATTTTCTCTTATTGTAGGCCATGACTTCAACCAGTTGTCAGTGACTTCTTTGGAAACGCTCTTTCGCTTCACTGTAAATTTTTTCACGCGTAATTTCGCACCTGGCTTTAAAAAGGCTCATCCATCCACTCGATGCTTTAAAATTCTTATCACCACCTAGCACCTAGCGCGAAAACTGTGTTGCTTTTTCTTGAAGCAGTGATCCACTTATTGAAACATGCGCAGCCCTATTTACGGTAAACCATTTGACCATTGCAGTATCAAGTTCTTTATTAGTTGAGGCACGTAGTTTTTTCGATTTACCGGAAAAAGACGAACCTGCTTCGAAAATGTTTACTTTTGAGCATGGTAGGTAGAGCGAAATTTTAAATTCCTCTTTCACGACAAATTTCTGCTTTCTTCTTACCGTTTTTAACATCTTTCAGGAAGTTAATTGTTTTTTCTAAAGTAGATGCTTTTCTTTTAGGAGTCATAGTGTGTAATCTATATGACTATGTAATCTACAACACAACTTTCAAGACGCGAAAGCACAATCAGGAAACAAACGATAAATATCTACGACAAAAACAATTGTGAAATGAAATTCTGGTGAAATTTATTTAATCTGTCAAGTTTTTAAACCTCTTTACCTAGTTTATTAGGTGCGAATTGTTAAACTCCTACACTGACACTTGTGAATAATAAATTATAAATTTCCGACAACACCATATCGGTTGGTAGATTAAACAGAAGTTTATTGCGGGCGGCAGTTAAAAAGGGTATTTATTTATAGCCACGGAAGGGCCAAAAACGTAAAAAACACGTTTTTCGATGTCATTTTCTCTCGTTATAACCAAATTTGCCTCGCTATAGAGGGCTATAGTTCAATAGAAATTTCACGGAACATCTAATGTACCTTGTAATAACGGTGTTAGTTATAGAGGGAGTATACTGTAGTATATTCCAGCGTTTTGATGATGCACATAAGAAAATAAATGAAATTTTGTTCGATGTTCGAAAAGTTACAAACTTTACCACTAAATATTCACGATCAAAATGTTGAATAATGTAATTCTTGGATATTTGGTACTTGTTCCAAAATCTGTTTCGGTGCGTTTGTTATTGTTTTACTTATATAAAAAAAACATTTAGTTAAGTATTGATTTACTGGCGAACTTTGTCGATATTATATGCCTATGGACATATAAGGACTGATTAGTTTTAGGTTTAGCTTGTGAGTTAACTGTTGTATAAAATTGTTATTTTTGTTTGGTTCTGTTTGATTGTACGTTTACGAAATAAATAAATTATAAACTCAATAGATTTGTTTTTTTTTTATTATTACTGCTTTTCGTCTTCATTAGTAAAGTTAGAATTGCTAGAAGCTTTAAAGCTCTTTTAAGCTTTTTTTTAGTGCCGAATAGATCACCGCTACACCACTGTCATCAAAAATATCTATGATAATGCCACGGCATGCGTCAGACTTCATGAAGATACACACAAGTTCAAAATTCATCGCGGAGTTCGCCAGGGCGACACCATTTCGCCAAAACTGTTTACAACATTATTGGAATACATGTGTAAGCGTGCAAACCTAGACGAAAAGGGCATAAACATAAATGGAGAGCAGCTTAGTCACCTCAGGTTCGCGGACGATATTAGTCCTGATAACAGACCGCATAGATCATGCCATCGAAATGTGCGAAAGACTCTACCATGCCCATCGAGCAATAAGACAAAAGAGGGAATGTAAAGGTAGAAGGGGTAAACATATTGATAGACAGGAAGTGCCATCTTGAGAGGCCACTTTAGACAAGGATAGACAGTCTCTTTCCTTGTTTAAGAAGTCAAATTTAGTTTGGTTATGTTATTGTTTGTTCCAACTGTCACATGAAATTTATTTATATTGAAGTTTTTTACCAATTATGTCACTTTTTAGACTATTATCGTTAATATTTAATTAAAACTTTCTAGTCTGAAAAATATTTTATAGCTATTGTTAACAAATGTTGGAAAATTTAAATTTAGCGCCTTTGCATTTCCGGATGTGTCCGCCATCAGAGGCCACTTTTTTGGTCTCCTTTTTATAACGATTAGATTCCCTCTTTTGTCTTATTGCTCGATGACCATGCCTCTACACAAGTGGGTTTAAAGATCAATAACTCAAAAACACAAGTGGATGACAAACCTTGTCTGAGTTGAGAACATCAACATAGCTGGAACAAGTATAGAACAAACATCAGCATACAAATATCTGGGACACGAAATTCGCTTAAGTAGAGATAACCAGACCAATGAACTATTACGTAGAATAGGGTTGACATGGGCAGCTTATGGAAAGCTAAGAGATGTTTTTCCAATCAGCCCTTCCCATCTGCTTAAAGAGAAAAGTCTTCGATCAATGTGTGCTGCCAGTTCTAACCTATGGTGCGGAGACGCTAACACTTACTAAGACGTCCGCAAACAAAATTCGAACAACACAGAGGGCCAATGGAACGGTCCATGTTGGATTAACCCTGAGAGACCGAATACCCAACACAGAATTGCGCCGTAGATCGGGAGTAAACCGACGCAATCAAAAGAATATCAACCTTAAAATGGAACTGGGCAGGGCACGTCGCGAGAACGAAGGACGGCAGATGGACAAAAACGCATTCTTGAGTGGAGACCCAGACAAGATGCCTTTAGAAATAGAGGACGACCACCAACAAGATGGACGGATGACCTGAAAACGACACATCAAAATTGGATGCAGGCGGCTCAGGACAGAAATTTGTGGGGGTTGAACTACGGGAGGCCTATGTTCAGCAGTGGACAAGTATGGGCTGAATGATGATGATGATGAGTAACAGTTAAAGTCGAATTCGAAAAAAAAAATAAACAGTTATTCATCATCCAGTCTCAAGAGTCCACTGCTGAACATAAGCCTCTTCCTCATGTTTCCAACCCGTCTATCTTGCGCCGCTCTTATCCAGTTTTTATTGAGTCTTCTTAAATCGTCAGTCCTATCTTGTAGGTGGTCGACCGACGCTTCTCTTGTCTTCCCTTGGCCTCCATTCCAATAACCTCTTTGTCCATCGCCTATCTGTCATTCTGGCTATGTGTCCTGCCCATCTCCATTTTAGTCTGGCTATCTTCTCGATGATGTCAGTCACTCCGGTTCTTCTGATGTCTTCGTTGGTTATTCTGTCTCGCAGAGTTATTCCTAACATGAACCGCTCCACTCTTCTCTGCGTGACTCTCAGTTTGGTAGCTGCTGCTTTTGTTAAGGTAAGTGTTTCTGCTCCGTGCATCAAGACTGGGAGGACGCACTGACGCAAACAGTTATTATTGCGTTAAGAATATAAAGTTACATATTTTAAGTAAGATTTCTATATTTTATCTTCTTCAGTTTTTATAAGGCTCTTAGAGTATCAGTTTCAATTGTCTTTGGCAGCAAAGTCAAATCGGAGGCAGCAACTATCATATGCTAGCAGAATTTCATCGAATCCTATAATAGAAATAATAGATTGGGACAAACAAAATATGTAGAAAAATCTTGAATATATAGACCAATACATCTTATAACGCTATAAGGAAGTCTACTAAAAGATCCTTCCAATAAAAAAATTCCAATTTGGATTCAGAGCTGAACACCGTTCTCAAAATGCATTGACAAAGCAGCAACTTGCATTTTACGCACAATCAACTAGAACGACCAAATAGCCATTGATCAAGTCACGCAGGCTTGATAAAAAACTCCTCCGCACTGGAATGCCAACCACATTTCTAAAAACAATACATTCCAATCTCTCCAATTGGACCATAACTAAAATCACTGATAAAGTCTCCGCTCCATTCACTCCACAAGCTGAAGTACCCCAAGGCTACATTTTAAGGAACCTTCCCATCCAACAGATAATTCCGAAACCATTTTACTTTACGCCGACGACACTGTACTACATTGTTCAGGCACCATCGACGGAACGTTGAGGAATCGAACTATATTTGACAAATCCCAAGCTCAACTCGACAAAATCATTAAATGGTGCAATAAATGGGGAATTACTTTTAAATTCAACAAAACACAAGCCATTCTCTTCAGATATCTTGGTATGAAAAGGAGGGCAATCGGATAGAGCTCTATGGAGAAAGACTTCCATTTCAAAGGTCGGTGTCCTATTTGGGCATTCAATTTTAGAGAAATCTCAACTGGAAAACTGAACTAAACCTCACTCTAAGTAGAGTGAGAAAGAGTGCTAGACGTTTTTCAAGTAAATTCGGCAACACCCATCACATAACTTTCCTGCATACATAAAAACCTTTATAAGGCCAATTGTTGAGTACAAGGCGGTTCTTTACGCCTCCCTTAACAACCGCCAAAGTAACTCTATGGCAACTGAACGTAAAATATTAAGAAAGATCATGAAGAAATGTGCAGACTATCTATCGGCGTTAATTCACCAACTATCCGATATTCCTACAATAGAGAGCAGAATTTGCTCTCTCGGAAAGAAATACGTCTTATGTACAATAAATAGCTCCAACATCAGAGCAAAAGAGGTCCTCCAATCATCATGATATCTTCTTCTACTTCTTTTGGCATCATAATCCTGGATGGGTCATTGCCTATCTGGCTATGTCCTTCCATTCAGATCTCTCTTGGGCCCTTCTCCTCCATTGTCTTATATTCATGGGCTATATTCATTACACCGGGCTATATACTTTTCTTAGTATCTTTTTCTCAAATGTCCTGAGTTGGGCTTCCCCTTTTTTTGTCCTTACCCAGGTTTCACAACCACAGGCTACTACGGGTCTAATCAAAGTTCTGTAGATAGTCATTTTGGTTCTTTTGTTTAATAATTTCAATTTCATCAATTTTTTATTAGAATAGTATGTACGGTTTTAACTGGAAATACATGCATTAATTTCGCTAATCATCATATGCCTACGGCATGTACTAACCAGGCTTTCCCAAAAGAAAGTTCCTTTCTTCCCAGCCAAACTTCTCAACTAACTGATAAGTACTTCGATACCCTAGAAGCGACGTCTCTAAGATACCACAGACTTAAACAAGCTGCAAGCCAACAATGCTCAATCAAAAGAGCCCTTCCCACAACTATAGCTGGTAACATGGCTAACAATCTTCCTCAATCAACAATTCTGACAACCTGCTTCTTAGCAATCTACTCGTCTCCCTAATACTCCAAACTGCAATCACAACTAGTGTAAGACAAATGTCTGCTCACTTCATGATAAGGGAGCCGCCACACTTTCAAGAGAAGCTCCGCCTAAAAGACGCATAAATTACAGCAAGAATCGCTGCGTGTATGGAATAAAACTGCTCAGTTTTCTACGATTTTTAAAACAGTACAAAAATTTCACTAGATTTATCGGAATCGGGCTAACTGTGCAGGTTTATCGATACGTGTATATTCATATAATAGCATTTCTCATAACAGTCTTATATCTTTCTTTCGATAATTGGTGCTACTATAGACAGCAGATATAAGTATCGTTATCTATTCTTGGAAAATTATGCCAATCTTTTACGTAAATAAAACATCTAGTTCTACCTATTCCTAGTTGATTCTAATCAAAAATAAAAACACAATAACTTGTACCTATTACACTTATTTATCCTCTTTACACAAAATTTTATTGTAAACCAACTCGTTTTATATTCAACGATAAATATAAACATTTCTGAATTCCTAGATCAACATTCCGACAACAGGTGCCTAAACAAAAACAAGAAAGTCTATGTTGATGCAATAAAAACAAGAACTTGTTGATCTAAATACAATTACTGGTTGCTGATAAACAAAACCTCTAGTTCTACCTATTTCAAGTTCATTTTAACCCACAAATAAAACACAATAACTTGTATTACAGCTACCACCAGTCCAGAATGTCGAAGTAGAATTAACAAACAAGTTCTCCCGCCTTACACGAATTTTATTGTGACCAATTCGTTTTATATCACCGATAAATATAAACATTTCTGAATTCCTAGATCAACATTTAGTGCAACAGGTGCCTAAACAAAAACAAGAACGTCTATTTTGATGCAATAAAAACAAAAACTTGTTGATCTAAATACAATTACTGGTTGCTGATAAACAAACACTGTAGTTCTACCTATTTCAAGTTCATTTTAACCACAAATAAAAACGCAATAACTTGTATTACAGCTACACCACTCCAGAATGTCGAAGTAAATAACAAACAAGTTCTCCGCTTTACACGAATTTTATTGTGACCAATTCGTTTTATATTCACCGATAAATATAAACATTTCTGAATTCCTAGATCAACATTCAGTGCAACAGGTGCCT